CCCCCCTCCCTCCCCCAAAACATAATAAATGAACCGTCCCAGCCTCATGAAGTTTAATTTAACAAAACATATTCAGGTGTAAGATTCTTTGAACTAAAACTAATAAGCACCATAATTTCATGTTGCCCAGATTTCATAAAGTACTGCACTGAAGTACTATAGTCACTCATCTTTGCATAGCCGTTCCTTGATTTTCACAGGCTTATAGCTTTTCATCTTCGTTTTAATCAAAAATTGATAGTAGAGTCTACTCTACACCTAGTGTTATAATTAATAATAATGAATTGGTATTATTATTGTGAATAATAAAGAAAACTACTTTTGTATACCGATGACAGGGTTAGCTGACCATATAAAAAGCCGCTCACTTCCGGTTGGCCGTAAAGATCAACTTCTCTCGACGACTTCAACCATCATGGCGGGGGGACGTGTTGGTTCGTCTACACATATCTGGATTTTCTGCTTCATGTTACTTATCAACTCGATTAATTTTACCGCATCGGAGTTTACCAGAGAAATGTTAGTTATCCACATGTAGTATATTCATTTCAAACTGAGATCTTGTTGTGGTTTTACTGACAGGAAAATATTCTTAACGACTGAAGATGTTTTTGGTTTTTCTTATTTCGTAGGGTCAGGGAATGGGCTGACAGTATCGGCAAGGCGGCGTTTAGTTTCTCCAAAAATATCACTCACGCTGACGACCTGCAGCATGTTAGTATCGTTGTATCAGAAATACACTAATTCACTGTATATTAATGTTTTATTTCGTATTTGTAGAGCTACGAAGCGCTGAATGCGAGTACGACAAATGTAGATGGACTGCAGCTGCTCAGTTTGACTAAAGGCCGAATTGAAAAATATTTCAACAAGAAAATTACCGCTCTTAAGGTTTGTGATGATTTTCAAATGAAAATGTTTTGTAACGTACCCTTAGAGAAGCATCCCCAAGATCTGATTAATTTTGAATCACTTTGCATGAAAGATGTCGTCTTTTCTTTATGAACTCGTCGAAGGTGGTCTCTTAGTAACGACACCAACAGCCGAATGTTCATAAAATAGAAAGCGTTGCAAAATCTGAAGTACATAAGCCTTATTGTATAAACGGTGTAAAATAGAATAAGTCTAACTTTATTTCATATTATTCATGGTACGAACCTACATTCAGTATCTGGGATGAATGAATTTTAAATCTGCCACAAGAATACAGCATAAACTATTTTCTAAACATATTAAGCCTACAGTTAATGAAGATACCAAAAAGAATTATAATAGTTTGAGCTGACATAAAAAAACATGACACCTCATAGACTTGGTTTAAACTTTGAATCGAATAGCAGTTGTTGTTATTTTTTTAAAGAGCAACAGGACGATACGCTCCCAGGGTTCTTCAGAACTCGGGGTTCATCTGCACGTTCAAAGCAGGTGTATCCTTGCTAGGTTTTCTACAATAATGAAATATTTCGACCGACTAGCCGCTATTTAATGTTTTATGTATTGAATTTTCGCTGTAATCTGTAATTTAAGTGAATAGGTGAAAACCAGACATTTTCCTTGGTCGTTAGCCTATTCTAGATCTCGCGATAGGCCTGTTGTTTTTCTGCATTCATAGTTCTGTGTACAATTTTCTACCTGACTAATCGAAAGCACGAAATTGAGATTGTCCAAAGACATTTTCGATTAAAATCATTTGATTTCTCTTTAGAACGCATAAATTCCTTTAAAGGTCGTTTTTGAAATTAAAGGATTAGTGGTTTTGCTTCTGTATATATTATAGCTTTTTTCAGTCTTATTAGAATTAATTGGAGAACATGACAAAGATTTGACAGTAAAATTGTTGAAATAAAAAAGACACTAATAGAATATCAATTTTCATATGCATAAATTATGGTTCATAAAATTAACGAAAGTTCAAAATCTCCCAGACATTTCAGGCGTTGATTCGTATATAAAAATCTTTCAGAATACACAACAAGCAGCGAAATAACTTCTGTGTAACGTCTTTCACGACCGTGCATGCAATACAAGGATTCTATAACATATTACATTTGCTAAAGACCATTATGTTAGTCTTAGAATGAATAAAAACAAATTAATATTTGTTTAACCACCATGTTAGAGCTTGAATTCATAACTAGCCCATGTTTTTAGAGCCATTCTTAAAGAGATTTCAATGTTGGTGATTTTTTTCAAATCCAGTTTCATTATTTTTCACATAATAAACATAATTGAGATTAAAAAAAGATATCAACTGAAAAAAAAAAAGGATTAATATTTCATTTAGTAATAACCCAGGTCTTCATTAATATGGGTTGTGGTTAGATAGCTTATGATAAGACATTGCACAGTGGGGAGGGGTGGGGATTGGGAAATCAGAAGATTAAAGACACTATCCCTTTGTCTATTCAAGAATAAAAATGACACTTCCTAGGAGGTTGAATGGAATACCAGCTGTGCCCAAGTACTATAAACTAATTATTCATACTATTTTTTTTGTAATTATATGAGCTTTTATCCTGTAATTCCAAATCTCACAAGATTGAAGAATAATTACCATAGCTGGAAAGAGCACATTCAAATGATTAAAACTGGGAAGTTTGAAGTAAGTAAAGAAAAAAATTGAATGCAAAGATGTTTATTTTCAAAAATTGAACTTTTTTGGTATGAAAAGATTTGATGAAGGCATCTCAACAAAAAAAATCACACTTTTCAAAAATCATCTCTCGAGTTTTCAACTTCAATTTGCTTCAAACTTCACTTTTTATTATTTTAGAATGCTCTTTCCAGCTATGGTAGTTAAAGTTTGTCTTACTAATTTAAAAATACCTGATGAAAGCTTAATTAATACATTCCTTCTATTTTATGGCATATCCATAGATAAACAATTAAGCAGTATGTCTAATTTAAGCTTGGAAATTTAACTTTGTTAGCTATGGGCCTTACTCACACTACAGCCATTATTCTCACGGGAATAAAAACCTTTGTTTAACCTGCATAAATTTATTCTCAAACACTTAAATGTGAGGCTGCAAGAAGGAAAATCTATTGTTCCAGTCAATATGACTTCCATGTGAGTACAAGGTCCATTGTAAGCCAAAAATTCATGAACCAAAATAGCTCAAATCATTTACAGTTTGTCTAATGAAACTTCAAATAATCTTTTTTAGAACATTGTGGACAAAGCTGAGAATGCATACTGTAATCACTATGTGAACAAGAAGCTTGAGGTATTTGCAAAATATCTACGCCTAATTGCAAGAACATTGTTGTAAAAAAACAAAGATAATAGAATAACAAATAGGAATAAATTAGAAATATAATAATATTAAATTCTAATTCTAAAGCCCTTAGGCCTATGGCAAACATCGAACTCTCCATTGACTGAGCTTAATTGCATCAAAGAATGCCGCCTCATTATCACCTGATATCCATTGTTTTTAATGAGCTTGGTGCATGGAAAGTTCGACGTTTGCCCTATGCCTTTGATTGATGAAAATATATTATGTTTATAGATCTATTACTGACATTATTATTATGAAGATAGGATTTGATATTAATTAATAAAGCTAGATTATATTATTATGATTATTATTATAAATCCTTTATTTACAAATGCATTATTATTATTGTTGTTATTATCATAATTATTATTGTCATTATTGTTATTATTGTTCTTCTGCTTTAGAAATAGACTGGAGTAATCCAGAATTAATGAAGTTTTAGAGTTTATTTTTACTTATGTTTATCTTATATCAAACATACTATCTGGTCGCAAGGGAAATAGTTAGTTTTGTTTTCCTGAGAGTCTCGATGTTTCACGAGGCGAAGGCGGGAAATATTTCTCTGATATTCACTGAGGCTGAGGTTAATAATTGTTTTAGTATAAATACACAGGTGATTTTTTCAAAAAAAGAAAAAAAAAGAAAAAAAAGGAAGATAAAACACATTTTTTCCCGGTACAGCAATGAAGCGGCTGGCTGCTATTTTGGATTGTCRCTGGAGGTGATTATTGTGTGATAGTGTGAGTTCCTCAACCAATCAGCGCGCAAGATTTTCAATAATCACCAGTGTATTTTTTACTAAAACAACATATATTAATTCAAGGAGCCAGTTGTAAATTACACATTAGAAACATTTGGAAAATCCGTAAATATATTCTTTTGAAGCCTGTGAAACTCTAGTTCATGTATTCATTTCCTCAAGACTTGACTTCTGTAGTAATTCTTTGTTGTTTGGGATGCCAAAACACTTAATTCAAAAACTTCAGCAGGTTCAAAATGCAGCAGCATGTTCAGTATCCTGTGGTCACAAAAATGATCATATAACGCCCATTCTCTATCACTTACACTGGCTGCCTGTTGAACAATAAGTTGACCACAAGTTACTTTTACTAACTTTCAAGGCTATGAATGGTTGTGCTCCCTCATATCTTAATGAACTGGTAAAACCGTATGTGCCAGCTCATCAATTGAGATCACAATCGTCCAATCTTTTAACCAAAGGTTCTTTCAAACTTAAATCCTATGGTAAAAGAGCATTCTCAAATGCTGTGCCTGAACTATGGAATACCCTACCTGCTCATATGAGGTCATGCAGAGATATTTTGTGTTTTAAGCGTGATCTTAAAACCTTATTTTTTAAGAGGGCTTACTCTTGATACATATTTTTATGTAATGCGTTGTTGAACTCTCCAGGATATTGACGCTATATAAAATATCATTGTCATCATCATTATTATTATTAAATTACCTGTTTTAAAGAGAGATTTACAATTGTATATGTAGTCAACAAATATTAAAAATAAAGTGTCCATTATTATTATTACTATTAATTATTATTATCAAATTAAGGTGACTGCCTACTTTTGGAAGTTGATTTAAACTTTTTTTAAAACTTCGATTTACCGAATTGAAATTTAATGCTGATTCCAAATCTGGAAAGGAAAAAAGGGTGTCCCAAGCTCGTTTTCGAGATAATCAGCATTTTAATGGAAGACTACGCACGAGCTTTTGGAGTAAAAATTGCGCCACCGGAAGTGATTAGAAAAAAAATTAAGATTCATAAGATAATAGTTATTTGCAGACTCTATGATTGCA